CCCCCAAAACCCCAAAACCCCAAAACCCCAAAACCCCTAAAGCAATCAATGATATTGAACTACTTCTTATTGACAAATTTTGACATAATGATTTTACGTATCCTCGACCTATCCCTGAGCTTCATTGGATCTTTGATAATTGGTGCAGTTGAGTCTTTAATTTTCGTATCAGTCTTTTGATTTGGAGTAACCACTCTACTTTCATTATCTAGAGAGTTAAAACTTGAGATTACCTTTACTGAGATTGAACAGCTCAGGATTTGCATTAATTTCTACATAAATATTGGCACGCTTAGATTCTAAAGTTGTTAAATTCACCCTTTCCACACAAAGCCCTAATACCATCAAATCAGCTTACCTCTCTTACAAGGGCTTGGATTTTTCCTAAAGGGAACACTTGATACAAAGTGATGTCTATTTCTGGTACTCCACCTTCATGACCTTCAAACTTTTAAAACTGGATGTTTTATTTGAGCTTAGCCAGATCAGATTTCTTAAACTCTATAGTCCTCTGGAAGTCCTTCTTATCAAATATGGGCTTATTAGGACTCTCTCTTCTACAGTAGGGGGACTTCCTAGATGCACTAAAGATATTTCAAGGACTAATTCTAAACCTACAGTTCGGTCTTGAAGCCTTTGAGATATGCCTTATTTCTCAAGGTTAAGGACTGGGCAAAATCTCTTCTTGTATTTCTCAAATTTTCCAACATAATTTTCTATGTTCTTCCTGAGATTTTCCTTTTGTTTGGAGACGAGGAACGGAATTTTGTTACTCATCGAGCTAGGCGAAGGGCTGAAGGCGTAATCTTTTAGGCTGATGTAGTTGTCCTCCAGCGGCTTTGGAGAAGGCGAGTACGGGGAGAGGGATTCGAAAAAGTTCTTACAGTTTGGAACGTTAAAGTACCCGTGACTAGTGGGGTCTGGTCTTTGGAAAGTCCCTGTAAAAAATTGTTAGGGATTTTAGAGACGTTACTTTTTATCTCTGGCTTGTTTTTCTGCCATTTTCTGATTTTCATGAACTTTTTGGATGGAGGGAGGGTTGATGAGGATTTGTTAGTTGCTATAAAAGTGATCTTTTAATAATGTATGATTGCATTTATTGTTCTAACAAGATTCTATTCGGAAAAACATCAAATTATTACATTTCCTAATCTTCAAAGATTATTTCACAAAAGAGTTTGCGATTCCCATTTGATTAAGAGGTAATAAAAGCTTACCTGAAGGTCCCTCTATATTCTTCACAGAAGCAGCTGGGGTGCCTCCATACCAATCATTGACAGAGACCTGGATGCCTGCACAACTCTTAGTTGCATGCAGACCTTTGGTACCTAAATGATAAAATCTCTTAAACCCTGATAACTACCTTTATGTTTGGTTGAATTCCTTGATTTCATAAATTTTGAGCTGGTCGAGGACATCCGTAATACTTTGCTCTTACTATGACACTTCTTCATATTTATTTAGATTATAATAGCAGATGGGGTTTTGGGGTTTTGGGGTTTTGGGGTTTTGGGG